CAGGTTGGATATTAGGAAAAAATTTTTTACCATGAGAGTTGTAGAACACTGGAACAGGTTGCCCAGAGAGGTGGTGGATGCTCCATCCCTGGAGACGTTCAAGGCCAGGTTGGATGAGGCCCTGAGCAACCTGATCTAGTTGGAGATATCCCTGTTCCTTGCAGGGGGGTTGGACTAGATGACCTTTGAAGGTCCCTTCCAGCCCTAACCATTCTATGATTCTATGATTTCTGCTATTTGGGTTCTGAGGATCATCCAGTTCTTTCTACGTGATGCCTCAGACGCTGTTCATTTTTATTGAATTTATTAAAACTGAGTTTTAACCCATTTTCATTTGCCTCACTTGAGTCTAAATTAACAGTTAAGCTTCTAATTATGTACCAGTATAACCAACTCAGTCTGAGGAATCAACGATGTCTATTTGTAAATTCATGCCTGTGTTTGTACGCCTAACCCTCTACCCCTGTGTTTTATGCTTACTCCGAATAAGATGCCATCAAACATGACAAAAGATTATCTGATGAACCATTCAGCTATACTTATCTAAATTGAACGCTGTGTAAAATAAATTACAGTTTGCTAAAGAAAGTGAAACATATTTTACCTCACACTCAAAATTGCATTTACTCCCCAAATCAATCATGTTTCCCAAGGTTGATGAATAAGCTAAAATCTCTGCTCCTGTAAGCACCAGGCTCTGGGTTGGAAGGTAGAGAGAGCTTCTGCACTTGTTTATTTTTATCTGTAGAACAATTCCTTTCTTGAAAGAAGGCACTTGTGCCCGTGGTATAGATATACTTTTTTGCTGCGCTTTCTGCAATTTCTTGCTTTTGTACTTGTTCTGTTTCCATCAAGTGTTTCTGAAGAATGCATGCAGTCCTTGTGAGGGGTAAGGTGAAGTGGAAGGTAGCGTGATGCCTTCTGGGTTCTTGTCTGAAACAAATTTGCACGAGCAGAGAGGTAGGGCGTTCCGAAGGGACATGTAACTTGAGGCATCTTGCCAGCTAGTGTATTCCTCATAGAGGGAGTAGCAAGAGACTATCCTTTGTTATCTCAGGTCAGTGTTACCCTAAAGCCCTCATCTCTTGAGAAATTCTCTGCCAAAGTCACTTTGAAAATATTCTTTTTTTTTGTTGTTGAGTCATTTGTTCCTATGTGTTGAATAGGGGCCTGTGGTTTGAGAGAGGATTTTCCTGTTCTCCTGCATCTTGTAGTGTCAAGGAGATATGAAATCTTCAATAGACACAAAGCTTTCTGGTATTCAATTACCAGGGCTTGAACTAAGACATAAGGAAGAAATTCCTTAGATCTAAGGAAGAAAGTCTTCACTCAGAGGGTGGTGAGGCACTGCACCAGGTTGCCCAGAGAAGTTGCGGCTGCCCCATCCCTGGCAGTGTTCAAGGCCAGGTTGGATGAGGCTTTGGGCAACCTGGTGTAGTGGAGGGTGTCCCTGCCCATGGCAGGGGGGTTGGAACGAGATGATCTTTGAGGTCCCTTCCAACCCAAACCATTCTATGATTCTGTGTACTGGGCTCACTTTTACTGCTTCTGCTTATGTGTTCTTCTTAGAGACTGCTATCAGCAGGAGTCTGATGCTTGCAATAGCCAGTACTCTAAAATCATGTTGTGTAAGTCCACTTCTGTAATGATGTTTATGTGCGTGAGTCCCACTAAAAAAAAAAATAGTATTTAAATGTCTAGGTAAATTGTGGAATATGGACCTTCATTCATTCAAGTCTGAGAGATGTGTAAGAATTAATTTTTTTTCTTTCATGGATGGCAAAGCATCCTGTGTCATATCAAAAGGTCTAATCATTTTTCTGTGAAAGATATCTTTCAAAAAAAAAAAAACAAGCTCAAACCTAAAACCACTGGGCAATGGCTACCTTTTTTTTTTTTTTTTTTTAACTGGGGATCTAACTGGTGATGTCTGCACCTCTAAGCACTTAGTCAGCAGCGTGCAGAAGGATGCAAAATGCTTCTAGGTAGGCTTTTACTTTGCTATTCTTACATGGTTGCAGTGTGGAATATTGCACTTCATTATTAGAATATACCTACCCAGTGATCTGGATGTTAAATTTTGCTGTCTCACATTAATTTTTTCAAAGTAAAAATAAAAAAGAAGATAGGAATTTCCAAGGCAAAAAACAAGATGAAAGACAAAATATTGTTTTACACTTTTAGCAAGAGATGGAAATCTGGACTAAGAGAACTGAACTTTAAATTACATCAAAAAATGTCCAAGCACAAGTTAAACAGCTTTCTCATTCAGATTTTATTTGAACCTGTCACAGAAAGCACACATTTTCTATTCTTTTGAATTAATGTATCAGTTTGAAAAGTATCCTAGTACTGTTTGATGTGCCTTCTCTGAGGGATGAGTATCTGATTTTTCATGCTTCCTGGGAATCTATAATCACACAGAACTTTGTCATCATACAGGATTTTATGTCCTAACAGTCGTGCGTGCAAACATTTCTGGTTGCCTTGGGAATGTCAGAAGGATCTCACAGATGCCTCTTGAAGTGTTAAAGCTAATGAAAAACAAAGCTCCTCATGGGCTGTTGTGGACAAACCAGCTGGGTGCCCTCTTCTTCTGGTTTTCAGACTCTTTCTGGTCATTCAGACCTCAACACTGACTTCTGCTGCCTCTCCTCATAGGCCTGGGGTCTTCTGTAGCAACTGTCTCGCAATTAAGCAACTAGACAGTCAACAGATGTAGAGCAAGTTGCAGACATGGAATAAGAACCCTACTGGAGTCAGGTGAAACTCCCTAAATCACTCTCCTAAAGAGACAAAGGAGAGCCAGGAAAGTGTTTTCCAGGCTAATGGGACAACTCAGCTTTTTCTCAGTTTCTTTACAACCAAAGTTTTGGAGAACATGAAAAGGTATTAAAAACGTCATCTCTCGCACGGTAAGAAAGCAGGATAGAAAATGAGATAAATTATTTATGTCTGTATTAAGGACTTGGAAGGGATGCAGGCAAAAGTGATGTGAGGCCATTTAAGTGAAAGATCCTCATATGAGGAAGGGCATCACAATCATGTCCAGAGGAAAAAGGATATGAACGACATGTAAATGGTATATAATACAATAACAAATGCAACAAAAAGACTGTTTCTTTGCAAATAAATGGATAATGACTTCCTTTAAGACTGGAGTCCTACATTTACTCATGCATATATTTAATTTAGATGGGATAATTCATGCGGCAACCCCAGTAAACAATATGTAAATTTTAGTGGGATTGAGACATGTTAAATTTGCAAATCAAAGTACTGTTCAGAAATGTTATCTGATTTCCAGGTATTAAGTCTACAAACTCCATTAATTGTTGAAAAATAGGTAGCCAGTGTACGTGTATCCAATGAAAAACTTAAAACCCAAAATCTGTATCACTATGAGGCTTAAACTGAGCAGTCTGCTTTAGGGAAAGTTATAACATGCCCACAAGAAAAAATGTTGTCTGCTTCTTATACACAGTCTACTCAAGGTGGCTGCTGTAAGGGCTGGTGTAGATTCATGGCTTTAATTAAGCTGTTACCAAAATGTAGACGTAATAGAACTTCATAATAATAAAAACAGAAACCTTATTTGTTTCCCTGAGAACATAAAGCCCCACGACTTTATGTATCTCCTACTTAGGAAAAAGGATTTTTGTAATATAGGTAATTATAAACAAATTTTATTCAGTTCTTGTTTTGCAGAGTACAAACTCGTTGCAAAGGATCATCGTAATAAAAAATCTCTGTTTAAACGGACTCCACTTAAGAAGGCAGTTTTTTTACCGAGAGGAAACCAGCACGCTTGCCATACGGCTCGTTAGAGCGCGCCGTCGTGCAAACGCTTTGAGCTGCCTCGCGGTAAAACGAACGTAGAAGTCAATGTCATCCACCCGCCCGCTCAACCTGCGTGAGAGCGTTTCTCCTTGAACTTGAGAGCAGTGTGGTGGGAGGGTGCCCCAAGGGCCAGGGCAGGGGATGCCCAACTGCTCGGGGGGCCGTGCAGTGAAGCTCTACCTGACGGCCAGTGCTCTGTGGACCCTACCATGAGTTCACAAGACTTGACTATCAACAGATTTATTGAATTTTTTTTTGGCTGAACGTAATTTGAGTTTTACGGTTTCACTCGGGTCTTTTGCCATCTCTGAGGTTGCCTAAAAGTGTGTATGGTTCCTTGCAGGGTCCCCAGAAAACTGCTCGGGGTCTTTGCCACAGGAGCGCTCATGCACTGTAGGGTCTGGGAGGTGCTGGCAGATGCTTCATTAATACAGTAGCCCAGAAATAAATGACTGTCTGGATGCGCTGCGTGGACCCTGGGGTGCCACCGACACGCCGAGGTAGGACAACTGGGAAACACTGCGTGGGAAGGGGAGGATGGGGTACAGGGACGGTGCGGCTATGGGGACCAGCATGAGCTGAGGAGAGGGGCCAGGAGAGGTGGGAGGTGGTAACCCAGCCCTTCAGTCCCCTCTTCCCTGGGTATCACTTAGTAAGAGGTTGTGTCTGAAACTCGGATGGGGTTACATAGAGCGACGGTGGCGCGTTCTCGTTGGCAAAGTGCCAGTGTTTTCGTTGTAAGTAGAGTTCCTCCTCTGTAGTTACTTGTAAATACTTTTTATCGGTTACATGAGCCATAGGATAGAGTAGATGGCTTTCAGCAACTCCTGAAAAATAGAGAGAAGACTTTGACCGGACACCGTTTACACTGCTTTTTGCCATTTGGAATACATATATATTACAGCTTGCTTGAAAACAGAGGGCCAAGCTGAGCTCTCACAACAGTGGCATGCAAACCCCTTGGACTGAGTTTGGCACTGGCAGCGTTTTGCTGCGTTGCCAAAGCTGCAGTGCCCATCCAAAACACGTGTGCTGCTCAACAGCAGTGAGGTGCAGGCTCTTTCCGGTGTGTCCATCAGCTCACAGTGCTTGGGGCTTGTGGAGGACCTCTGCTTTCCTCGGTACAGGTCCCAGCGTGGCTCTGCGGGGCATCGCCCACGCTAGACATATTCTGGTTTGGACAGGACCTGCAACTCCTGCCCTGCATCACTCCTGTCCCGGAAAGTTCCACCCAGCCGTCGTGTTCTTCTTTCCCTGAAGAAAATAAGGAATGGTCAGAATTAAAACAGGTGAAACCAGGCAGTCAGTTTAGGGACTGTGTTTGTGTTCCCCCCTTCTTAGGGGGTACTGAGAGTGACAGTAAAGGAGTGATACTCGAAAGGGGGGCAGAGGCGGTTGCTGAAGAGGCAGTAGATGAGGGGGTTGATGGCACTGTTCAGGGCTGGCAGGTTCTGGATGATCACGGACGCGTAGAAGCGCTCTTTGGTCTCTGGGAGTATGTTGAAGTTGTCCAAGATATCGAAAAGAAAGTATGGGCTCCAACAGAGAACAAACGCTGGAAGAGAGACAGGGAGAGGAAGAGCTTGACGTTAGATAGTTTAGCTATTTAGGGAGGTAATCACCCACCTGTAGAGAGACTGTCATAACACATCAATATTTGTTCATGCAAAAAAAAAAAAATCCTGTCCTATTCAGGGTCTTATTTAAGAGAATAGTTATTAGTTCGTGCTTTTATTTGTCTTTATTTTTATTTTAATGCCTGTAAAATATATTATGTGTGCTCCTCTAAGTGTTTAGAGTGCTCCCTCTAGACGCATCGAGGCGCTTTTGAGTGCTGCACAACACATAAAGGGTAAATAGGTAGCCAGTTAGAGCATCGTAAGTTATAGTGAAGTGCTCTTTTAATGGTCCCCTGAGCCAGCAGCCGGTTTAACGGCACGCATCACCAACGCGCCACTCCGCGGCAGCGCTGCCTGTCACAGCCACCTGTGAAAAAAGGGCTCTCAGACCCCCCGGGGGTGAGGAACGACACCCTTCCACACCACATCCCGCCAGACCAACGTGCCCTTTGGGGCGCTGGTTGGAGGCGCTGTGTGTACGGAGCGTGCAGGAAGACTCTCTGATTCCCGGACTTCAATTCTGAGAGATGGATTTGGGGAAGGGAAGAGAGGAGGGCTGCGTTGTTCTCAGCCCCTGTTTCTGTTCAGAGCGGGTAGCAAGAAAAAGGCCATAGGTTTGTCTTTATTTGCAGATGTAGGGAATGAATCTGACCCTCACAAATTTCTATGTCATCTCCTTTCTCAAAGGCTTTTGATGGAAGATTTACAGAGGAACACTGGGACAGGCAGTTCCCTCGACTAAGCCATAGGTACCTGAGTTGCAAACATAGAGGTATCTGTGAAACCAGACCCAAATGAGACAGCTGAGCGACCCGTACTTGCTTTCTTGTTGCATTAATCAGTATTTCTTAGTTGGCAGTTAGCAGAGAGCTCACTGAAAGTGCAAGGAAGAGGAAAACTCCCCTCCTGTTTTCTAGAGTAACCAAACCAGCAGTGTCTGTGCACAGATACTGGAAAAATAGCAATACTCCTTGTCAGTGTCTGGATCACAGCGCTGACTATGCAGAACTGTTAGTGGCTTTAAAGAAATCCCTGAATG